GGGGGGGGGGGGGTGGAGGGCCGGGGGAAAGGCCCCCCCCCCTCCAGCCTCCAGTAACATGGGAGGGGGAAGAGGCTGGGGAGGAGGATGGGGGAGCCAGGGAGGAAGCAGGGCTGGCTGTGCCCGGGAAAGGAGGTGGGGGGGGATGAGAGGCTATGGAGGGGGGTTGGGAGACCAAGTTTGGCATGTCAAACAAAGATCTAAACATGAGACTACAAAGCATCACTACTAAGCCACTGGGTTGCCTTTTTAAAGTGCTGAAGACGTAAACCAGATAATCGATGTACCCTCAAATTAACGCACACAGAAAAATGATAAGACAAAAACCACAATTATCAGTAGGTGGACACTTTTCACAAAATGATCACTCCATATATAAACTCTTAGTCCTCACCTTCAAATGAAACCTTCATACCTTCAAAAAAAATGAGCCGGGGAACTAGAACTCATAACTCTGCTGGACACTAAAACCCATGGTCTTAACAGAGACACTTGTTTTATGGCTCATTACAACACGCTGGGCTTGTACATACTAGGAATGTAAGTCGAGTAATTAGATACTCATTCCCCTCCACCTCCCTTCCCCCACCTCTGTATCAGAGCAGGAGCCAGTGCTGGGGGGAGCCAGCTTAAAAGCCAGTTCTCCATAGCACCATCTCCATGGTGTCGCCTGTCCCTGTCCCCTCTCTCCCCCCCATGCTGCTGCTTCTATCAGAGACAGCAGTGTGAGCGGGGGGGGAACGGAGGGAAGAAGGCAGGGGAAGTTGCTGCGATGCAGCCTCTGCCCATGACAGCCTGGGGTGGCTGCAGACAGAGGCTGCCTCCCCAGCTGCTGTGTGTGAAGCATCCCCTGTCTTCAGCAGCCTGGGTTGACAGAGGGCAGAGAGTGCTTCGGCAGCAGCCCCAGTCTACGGGAGTCCCCATGAGCAAGCCTGGCTCAGTCCCATCTTGCACCAGGTCCGGGGGCTGCCCCTGCTGCGGCTCTGCAGTTTAAATGTAGTAGGAACCAGGCATGCAGCAGAGCTACACCAGGCGTAGCTCCTGAACCTGGTGCAAGCCAGGACAGAGAAAGCCTTCCCTTAATGACTAATTTTGTAGTTGATAAAAAATTATCAGTTACACGATTAGTGTAATTTTATTAGTTACATGATTACCTGCATCTTAACATCCTTAGAGTATACTACCACTTACACTGGTATAACTTATGTCTCTCTGAGGTGTGAATAAGCCATTCCTCTTCAGTGACATAAGTGACGCAGTCTTAAGTACCGGTGTGGACAGCACTGTTGCACTATGTCAGCAGGAGAGCTTCTCCCAGAAACATAGCTACCAGCTCTCATGAAGGTGGTTTTATCATGCCGTTGGAAGAGTTCTCTCCTCTCGCCATAAAGTGACTTCACCAGACATGCTACAGTGATGCAGCTTTGTCACTGTAGTGCTTCTAGTGTAGACTAGCCCTTTGTCACTTACTACCCTACTTTGTCCTACAACTGCTAGAGAATTAATTGCCTACTTCATTTTAATTGGACTTCCCAACACAAGTTAACATCTCTTGCTTAACAATCTATCCCACCTTTTATTTAGCTGTGACAGCTTGGTGATCCTTTCCAGATCGGAGGGGGAACTCTGAATCCCAAAAGTTGATAGTGGAGAGGACAAGAAGTTGGTCCAGTAAAAGATATTACCTTACCCACCTTGTCCCACATACCCTGAGACCAACTCTGCTCAAACACTCAAAACCATTGATATCAATTTAATGTGAACCCATAAATTCACTGACACAAGATAAACCAACATGTGCCAGGATTAACAGAGATGTTCACGTCACTTTAAGATTTGCCCTGGTTTAACTGAATTCATATAAAATGTATTTTTAATTATGTGTGTGTATTTGCCTCTGCAGACCAGGCCAAAGGCTCTCACTGTGGAACTGCAACTTCAGCTGATTTGGTGGAGGCACACATGTGCATAATATCAGAGGCAGCCGGGGGAAACAGGAGCTAGTTCTCCCCCAGCACTGTATCTGCGGTGCTGTCTGACCCCCCACCCTTGCTGCTGCTTCACGGGGGAATCTAGAGGGAAGTGGGAATCCACCCTCCCCCTCAGATAAGGGGCGCAGCCAGCTGGGCAGGTAACCCAGCTCAGTCCCAACTTGCACCAGGACCAAACCACGCTACAGCTCTGCAATTTTAAATGAAGTAGGAGCTGGGGGCAAGCAGCCCAGCTCCTACAGCATTTTAAATTACAGAGCTGCAGTGGGGTTTGGCCTCAACACGAGCTGAGATTGAGCCAGCTGCCTTCCCCTAACGACTAATCAAGTAGACGATAAAAATTCTGTTGACTACTCGATTAGTAGAATATTTGCATTTTAACATCCCTAGTGCATAAAGCCCAAAGTCTAGACACACCTATTCACATGTTTAAGTTTACTCTTGTGAGTAGTCCCATTGAATAATAGTGTGTCTGCAATATCAGGGCCTAATTTTGTAATTTATTAAAAAAAATCTGCAGATATATTTTCTGGGTGATAAACCTACTATACTGCTCAGATGTATCTCATTCTTGTATCTGTTAAAGTAATTGGTTGTGTTATATAGGGAAAAACAAAAACCTTACTTTTTTGTTTGGTGTGGCTGGTTCACTTTCTTCCTTACCTTCTTCCTTGTTGTCGGCAATATCCGTTTCAGCTTTGCTCCAATTAAGCAATAAGCTGCACTTGTGTAAGGAGACATTGCGAAAAGTAGTACACCCATAACATGAAAGGGGTTTTTTTTCCTTTTATGCTTCCATAATCTATGTAATGTATAGCTGGTTTGCTTCTCTACTATCAAAATCAATTCCTTAATTTCCCCCCATCCTATTTAAAATTATATTTAAAAAAAACAACAGCGGCAGTTCAAGAGCAGTTCTACAATAACAAGTCAGTGTGAAGAGATGAAAGAGGAAAATATCTTAGGCTGAGTTTTTAAAAATATTATTTTAGTTTTTTAACCACTTTTAATTAAGCTAACAGTTTTACTCTTATTTTTAAACAGTGAGGAACTCTCTCAAAATCATTTCTTTCTCCCCTCATACTAATAAAGCAACTGAAATTAGCCACCAAATTATTTTCTTCCTTGTACTTTTAGAGATGGGATCCTTGATTCAAAATCTCACACTTGTGTGCATTGACTAGTTTTAACTTCTATGATTATTTTAGCAAACAAAATCAAAATAGGGAGAACCACTTAAAGTAACAAGACACGTGACAACTCAGTTAATTAAAATATCTCTATCAAGCAAAATTTTTCTTCTTTTCATCCCACCAGAAATCCCTCCTAGTCCTGGAAATTTCAATGGAGACTAAAAACCCATCCCCATTTTCCTCCAGCTTTATAATTTACACATGTTTACACATATGATACGGACATCAAGAAAACAGAGAATCCGGATAAAGAATAAAATACCTGCCATTCAACTGTAAGCAACAAAAGGAACAGCAATGCAAGGGGACTACTTCCTCTCCTCAGTATTGTACAGTACTGTCCCCTCCTTCCTCTTCACCAATAACCCTCCTACTCCTCCAAAATCCTCTGGGTCCTAAAGTTCACCTTTTGCAACGCTGTTTTGCCATATAATATAAAATGTTGTAGTTCTAGTTATAACCTATAAGCAGTGGGGCTGGAACTAGGGATTGTGTGGATGCTGCTGTAGCAAACACCAAATGTGTGGATTCCACTAGCATCCCTCCCACTGTAATTTACACAATTCCTTATAGCAGTGGTTCTTAACCTTACTGCAGCCTGCACCCCTTCGGTTCTCAAAATAAGTTCTCACACCCCATATTAAAAATTGTTGAAGTAGGTTAGTTCTTTAAACCTAAGATATATCATAAAAATCTGGCATCTCTCACACCTCCAGAAAGGGCATCTCGCACCCTGCGTGCACCCCAGGTTAAGAACCACTGCCTTACAGGACAATTTTAACATCTGAAGAGCTGGTGTTATTGGGCCATAGAATTGACCAAGCTTCACAGCTCTGACAGTGCAAGCATGTTTCGAAAGGATTTCTTGTGACCACTTTTGAAAAGGTAAGGTTTACATGTGATCCATTAAGAAAGAAGAAAAAAAACTTTGCAAGTAAACAGGTTTAGCAGAGAACATTTCTCTGAGAGCAAACTCCTGCAAATGTTAGGTGTCTGCCCTACCCAGGCCGCCAATCCTCATCCCAAACCCAAATCCATCTTCACTAGCCAGAACCTTGAGTTCATCTTATGAATCCTAGAGCTGGAAGAGACCTCAGGAAGTCACCAAGACCAGCCCCCCCTGCCCAAAGCAGGCCCAACCCCTACTAAATCAACCCAGCCAGGGCTTTGTCAAGCCAAGACTTAAAAACCTCTAGGGATGGAGAGTCCACCACCTCCCTAGGTAACCCATCCCAGTGCTTCCCCATCCTCCTAGTGAAATAGTTTTTTCCTAATATCCAACCTAGACCTCCCCCTATGCTTCCAAATATCATTAAGGGCAGACCTGTAAGGAACTCAGCTGACGTGCACTGCTCCTCGTCTGGGTATCGCACCCATCTATGGCCAGGGCACTTCCGGGAGCAGCTACTGCTCCCAACGGCTTTGTTTGGTTTTGGCGGGGGAACACTGGGAGCTGGCAGCGGAATGGGTCCTGTGCACTTTTTGCATACGCTAGCGGTAGGGCAATCCCATGCAAACCCCGCCCTCCAGAGGCCGCGCATGGATGTTGCGCGTGCAAAATAGTCCGCACCGCCCGGGGGCGTCCAACATTCCAACCCTCCCTCTATAGGAGCGAGAGAAACGCTTTTCACAGAGGCATGTCCCTCCTCTC